GTTCATGCAAAGCCAAGGCTACTAAGAAACTGTTTCAGTTGTCATGCATATAACATCGTGGCCTTTATTGATTCCAAATCTGTACACGGATGAATTCCCCGAACTGAGTCTCGTCTCTTTGTTTTTTCGTCCCAGCTGTCGCACGAGCAACAGGAAGAGCCTGATTGTGACGTCCCAGCACCTCTCCCACACTGCCTCGACCACACTCGCCTCTTCATGGACACACAGGTAACACACACTGTTCCCATCTGTGGTCAGAAAGCAACATGTTTGGTAGCTTAAACTGATTTATCTAACCGATGCACCCGCTTCAGGGCAACTAGCCAATTCTATGTTTATCCTCTGGGGGCCACAAATACCTACAGGGCTCACAGAAACAGTAAAGGGACCATCATCAGTAGAAGGTTTAGTAGTCGTACCTGTTCCCGCTGTATTTGTTCTTCATAGCGTATCGTACAGCAGGCGAGTCGTATTGTTTACCATCGCACACACCAACAAAGAGCAATGAACGGCTCATCACAGCACGTCGAGGAAATTCATTCCATGGACTGATGCACAGCTCCGCCTGCCTGTTTAAAAGAAATCCCTCATTGTTGGGTGTATTCTGAGTGTCTTGCAATCGACGATGCCGCACGAGATCATGACCTCAAGCTCTGCCCTTCTTCATTAAAACGTCACATTTACAACACAAATCTCTAAATCAAACCCCCCACGTGACCGGCGAGACAGAGAGAGAATATTTATTAATGGTGACTGAATGAAAATGGATTGGTGACGGGGACTGAATGGGAGGAGAGAGGGACTGCAGGATAGATATTACAAATTAATAGATGGCAAAATATTGACAATCATATCTGACTCTGGCGAGTGAGGGACAGACAGCTCTTCATTAAATGTGTGTTTGTCCCCAGCTGAAAGGCATTTCGCACACATCTCATTTCCTGCGTGTATAATGGAACTTGCCATGTCAGTCACAGCGCACGCACACACATTTTGTTTGAATAACTGCTTTTGATAAACAACACCTTGACCTGAATCAATACAATTCAATAGTAAGCGATCCAATGTAATACATTCAAAGAGAAAGAATCAATCCGTCTGATCCACTTTTAAGAAAGGCCTTTACTTTGAAAGTCCCATGGCATGTCACCCTGATTGTAATCATTCATAGAGGTTGAATTGAGTGGTTAAGGGGAAACATCCCTTGGTCCATTTAATTCAGAGACCACTTGCTGTTCATGCTCTGTACGCTATCCATGGAGAAAATCTATGTTTGAGGCTAACAAGGGACTTTAAGATGCAGGTGACTTGAAGAAGAAAGCTGACTGAGAAGCTCAAAGCATTTGGGAGCCATACAAAAGGAGTCCACAAAAAATAGGACTCACCATAAAATCATTTCAAACTGTTTACATATTGAATTACCTGTAAACGGGCTATATTGTAATATATTTCAATATATTCCGAGTCCATCTTTCGCTCCATTCTTCCATCTCTTTTTTCTCTTCCTCCATCCTGCCACGAAAGTGCTGTGGCTGCTGTGTTGCCGTGGTAACGCTCCCACATCTTGCGGCCCGCCTCACGCTCCCGTCTTTTTGTGTCCCAGACACTGCAGAAGAAGTAAACACCGCTAATTAAATACCAGTAAATCATCTTGTGACTTTCCTTTTAACGGCATGTTGAAACTGCAGCTTTGATCTAGTTCGGATCAAATGTTTTGAGTTTTTTCAGCCTCATGCTAAGCCTAATATTACCTCCACAGAAAAATGTACATGTTAACCTTTATCCAGTCTAATCCGAGGCTGCGATATCTCACTGCTAGCTGCTACTTCATTACTTAATATGCACCACTGGAGGCCATTAAAAGGTCCCCTTCATCCCCACAGACGCTCTTTATACACACCCCTTCTGCTTTCTTCAATCGCTCAAAGCTCTAGCTCCGGCCCTCATCGCGAATTTCATCATGGTTTCCATCACCCGGCCATTTGCCGCTAATCAAATGGAAATTCCCCAAAGCCTGATGCCCTGGGAGGCTGATGAGGACCAGTCCTCTCCAAAATGACTTTTAATAAATGTTGAAAGCCTGCGTAAATCTCTCGTTTCCTCTCTCGCCTCCAACACCCGGTTTCCTTTCTTTCTCACTAGTTCCTTGTCATCACCATAATGTCTCCTTTATTCCTGCCTCTACTAAATCAACACTTTCTCTCTTTCTTTCTTTGCCTCCACCCGGCCCTAAACTTTCCTCTCCCCTCCTGGCTGACATTTGGTAAAGGCCAGCGGATGATTGACAGCTGCTTGTGCTCAGACTTCTGATGAATCCCGTCAAACAATCCAGGACAGGGAGAGAGACAGCTTGGGATTCAAACAAGGCATTTTCTCTTTTTCGTCTCTCCACCCCCTCCCCAATTATAGCTGCATTTTGTTATCCCAACAACACTCCCTGGAGAGGCACAAAGTAGATGGTACATTTGCATGTGTCTCATACGCCGGTATACTTCTTAGTGTTTGCTAAAGTAGGTCACTGTCAGCCTCAGTTTGCAGCACAAAACCTTCTAAAAATGTGACAGCAAAGCGGCTTCTGTACCTGTGGTGACGCGGCCGCCTGCCAGCGGCTCTCAGCCGTGATTTACATTTCACTTTCAAACCAGGAGCCACTCTTGATTTCTTTTCCTCGCTAAAAGTGGAAAGTATTATTCAAATAGATTCAAGAGTGATTTTGACTTTAGATTTTTTTGATTTTTTTTGTCTCCCTCTGGAGCCAATCAGAGTGTGTGAACATGGTGAAAGTCAGTGTGCATGAGTGCGCTGAGTGGTGAAAATGAGGCTTTTGTAGTCTCTGTAGAGTGTCCCTGGAGTCTCTGGCTGATGGTCGGCGTGCTGGTTCTGTATGACAGCCGTGACCAGTGACTGCTTGATGGTCAGTGGGGCAAAGAAGAAACCAGAGCATCAAGCAAACCACACAGACGGGTAACTGCCAAATAAAAATCTCTGAAGAGATTTTCAAAAAGCAAGTGATTAAAAGCCTCTTTAGTTTAGTACAGATAAATATCTCACAAAAAAGGTCTGAAAATGTAGGAATATGGTTCCGAAATGAAGGCAATCTTCTCCTCTCGAGTAGCTTTCGGTCACTTTTACTTCAGACAATCAGCCGGCCCAAATCCTCTCCGTCTCCTTCCGAGCTCAACAGGAGTGTGATCTCCAGTCGACATGTTAGCGCTAAGCAGGCTAACCTACTGCTGACGAACCAGTTGACGATTCAGCTCCTGCTATCTGTCTCTGCTGCTGTTCTCTGTGCCTGGTTAGCAAATCGTGGATCAGCAAACTGTTCTATTACGGGCAAGTTTAGACTAAAATGACTGCACATTCAATGCGGGTTTTTTTTTGTCGAGAGAACTTCCAGACATCCCTTTTAATCGCGGACGCCATCGGGCCTGCAGCGGTCGAGTGATTGGAAACGTGGAATGTTATCTCTCCTTTGTGCTCTGTTGGATCTGTGCAGACAATCACAGACAGCAGTTTACTCACAGCATCCCGGGCAAATAAATATGCAAATTAACACAAGGGCAAATTTATGTTTTTAGGAAATCGTTTTATGATAATAGTTATATTGTAGCTATAGATATTGTATTGGCCTGTAGCTGCTGGGACATGTTGCCATTCCCCCTCCCTCGGGGTCAAAGTACTTAAACATGTCTTTGTACTTCTCAGCTGACCGATACGCTGTATGCCGATAGTCACGGGACTGCAAGATAATCTCTGACCTCCCCACCTTCTATCCTCCTTCTCCCCCCCCCTCATTGGACCCGCTCCCGCTGCCGTCACGGCCTCTGACAGCCTTATGTTATTGGCTGGAACCAAAGCAACACACACACACACACACACGCGCACACTAAGCCTGAGCTGCGAGGTGTGGCGGCGCCCCACTGTGACCTCCTCCTCGTTTGAATGGAACTCCAGTGGCATCCACGCCACGCGTGCGATGGAAACTAACAAGCTTCAGTGCGACGCGCCCCATCCAGCGTGTGCATGTTCCGCAGCCTCAGACGGAGGTTGAGTTTCTGAGGAGCAAATGCCCTTATTAATATTTGAGTCGGTGCTCTGTCCAGACAGGCAGCCGAGGACGAAATGCATAATTGATGTGGAAATGTCCGACCACTTAATCTCTCGTCCTCCGCCCCTCTCTGTGTCTCTCTGCTGAAATGTTAGCTGCACACAAAGCGCCGTGTTTTCCCCGCAGATGGAGCGGATTTGAATATTCCCATCCATCACGTCGTGTGTTAATGCATCCACGTGACTGTATGCTTATTAAATGACCCGAGGTTTATTCAGAAGAGCGTTTTTCTATTCTCTGCGTGTCAGTTTCACGGCAGGTGGTTCAGGCTTTGCCGCGGATTTCTAATGCTCGGTGCGAGGAGGCTTACTCTCCTGCAACGCCGAGACGGCCTCCGAGCAGCACGCCGCACTCCTGTTTTGCATTCACTTAATTATTCAGTGTGACCTTGCATTCATTTGGTCTGTGTGTGCGTGTGTTTTTAATGTTCCTAAGTTTTAACAATCAATAGTGAGACCTGTCGATGAGATTTTTTTGTTTACCCCAAGATTGCAGTAGGTCTAAAAGGTGAAAATAACAACTTACATGTTTTTAAGAAATATAGCTCCCAAAAGTGTAAAAAAAATATTGATTGAATGAATAAATCCGTGGACTCACTGTAGAGACAACTGTTATTTTCTCACATGCGTTGGATTGGGCCGTGGCTGGGTTGGTACCCCGTCCAATGGAAGATGACTCTCTTACGCAGCGGCTCTGTGTGAGCTGGAGCTGTGCCGCTCTGGTCATCGAGCCGGTGGTTTTCGAGAGGATTGAGCTGCACTGACGCACCTCGTGAACAATGTTTTCCTACAGAGGCCCAGAGGCGCCGCAAATCAGACACTTTTGTTTGTTTTATTTTATTCTTACTCTAATTGTTCGTATTGGATATTTTCTCTGGTATTTTCAATATGGCCGACATAAACAAACACGCTGTTCTGCGTCGATCGAACTTATTTACTCATCAGCTCCGAAGCTGCTGTTCATCCCAGTGATTAGTTGCAGGGCAGCTCGTTTCCCGTAGTTAAATACTGAGATGATGTATTCTCAGCCGGGGTACTTTTTAGAGTGCTTATTCTTCTCCTCCTTTGCTTTCCTTCCCTCAGGTACCAGCCCACTGGACAGCCCTCGCAACTTCTCCCCCAGCACAGCTGCACACTTCTCCTTTGTTCCTGCGCGCAGGTGAGGCTCACAGAAACACACAGTCGCATGGTGCAGGTGTGTTTGAGAGTCACAGCCAGAGAACAAAACCGCTGCTCCCTTTTGTGTGTCGCCAATTGTGGGAAATGAAAGCACCAGCAAACAGGAAGGGAGGAAATTGAAGAGTGGATAAGCTACACGTCCACGTCTGATGTTGATGTCTTTTAGAGGCAGCGAAACGACTCGGGCGCCTTGACATGATTGTGTGTGTGAGCAGATGATCGCTTTGAGGCTGTCACTCAAACCAGGATTAATAAACGTCTTATCTGTCTGGGCTCTCGGGGGAAGCTAGCAATTACTGAGCGGGAAGGAGGGACTAAGACAGTGTGTGTTCATGTGCGTGTGCGTCTGATTTATTCTTTTTTAATCCAAGATTAGAAAAGATGTCGTATCAAAGTTTGGTCAAATGTAAAGAAATTCTCTGCAAGTCTGCCTCTTAAATCTTCATTGAAGATGATGGTTTCCATGGAAACACACTTGTCCCAAATTTACCAAACCCCAAAGCTGCTGCTGTTGACAACTTCCTCACACTGCATGACAGCAGCCAGAGCCAGCAGCCAGAAAGAGAATACATGTCGAAATCCAGTAATGTCCGCCTGCTGAACTCAGTCCTAGGAGCTGGAGCAACAGGGACACCATGTGGTGGAGTTTGATACGGCGGGTCATTTATTTGAGGGTCTTTCTGCTGGATGAACAAAACCCCCTTAGCTTTATTTTTCTCTTTAGACATGGATAGATTCATATTTTTCGCTTTGTTTTAAAAAATACATTTAACCCCCAAACTGTTCTACTGAGATCAAAAACAGTTCAATTGTGTTTGGTTCTTTATTGAAAAAAGCTTGCCTTTTGATCTTTATTATGGACAAAACAGAGCGTTCCTTAAATATCTGGAATTCTATAATAAAGGACCTCTGCAATAAGCTATATGGTATGCGACAGAGCCCACAACTTCCTGTAAAAATGTTAGTTTATTTGTTACAAATAATAAAATAAACTATGCACTGGGATTATTATATATTTTTCAGGAAGAAATAATTAGATTATTAAAATACGAATCTATTTTTTAAAAGATTATTGCAAGTACATGTAATATCATTAGAATAACCTCCGATGATATAAAACAACCTCTTACAGTTACATTTTGGGTTGTGTTAGCCTTGGATTAACAAGACAAGTTATTTCTTCACTCGTTCTTAATTGTATAACACGGCGAGGGCGAGGACAGGCTTGCAGAATGTGTGTCAGTGACAGCTGCAGACCGCTATAAACCCAACATGCTGTCTTGTCTCCCTCACAGTCACGGACACAGGGCTGACAGGTAACCTCTCAGTTCCAAGCTCAGACCCTTTCCCTCCCTCCTTCTGCCACCTTGTTCCCCTGCGCCCTGCATGGCTGAGCACACTCGCACTAAACGGCATCGACGAGCACCCTGCAGGGTCCCGTCTCCTTCAGCCAACAATGTTTTGAACCGTTAGGACACTCACTGAGGCGTTTCTAAGAAAGAAAAAAAAAAAGCACTCCCTGGAGTGATGAGAATCTTTGAGACCAGAAAGTGTGAGCAGACGGGTCACAGAAAAGGGGAGAAACCCTTCATTTGTTTACAGTGTTCCTTCAAGCACAAGGCTTCTGATTCTCACCTCTTATTGCTTATAAATCACATGTGCAGACCAAAAACCAACAATCAATGTATCCTCTAGCAACTATAGCGCGTGTCAAAGCGAGATATATCTTCCACTTCTGTGCCATAAAGCTCCAAAGTTGTCTAGAAACCATTAAAGTCACATCACTAAGTCACAATATGGCGGTGACACCTTTCTTTATTTTCAACAAACATGCTATTTCCTCCTGAAAGTTTTTTTCTCTGAGCCATTTTCAAAGATATAAGTGTGCTTTAGAAACCAATGGGCTTGGAGCTGAGCGAAGCCGACAAACACGTTGGTCTGGCTCTCTGTGTGGGACGTATACCCACAGAGTAACAGCTGGCTTCCATTTCAATGCATCAAACCCTGACGCGTTTGGACTCCGTTATGCTTTGACCCCATGGCTTTGCCTGCCCTGTTGAGTCCAGTTTATACTTCAGTCTGCATCTCCCCTACTCCGACTGCAACCCTTCATTTTGCTATACGTGATGGTGATGGTGCTTCATCTCCTTGGTACGAATGTGTGTTTACATATGAGGAAAAAAAGGGCATGTTTGTTGTTGACGTCTTTGTGTCTTTGTTCCCTCAGGACGGATGGGAGGCGCTGGTCTCTGGCCTCGTTGCCTTCCTCAGGCTATGGCACCAACACTCCCAGCTCCACTGTCTCAGTAAGTATATTAAGTCTCTACATGTAATTCTACGTATTTTATATTGAAAGATTCAAATGAAACTGCTGACTTTTCTCCTACAAGCAACCGGCCTTCATATCCTCCCTCAGCTGCGATATGCTCTGTTCTTCTCCCACCTTCCTCCCCTCTGATGCCCTTAAGAGTACCCCTGTACTTCTCTCTTTCTTCCCTTGGCTCCCTGAGACATCCCATCCGTCCCTCTGGTCTAATCCCTCTGCTTTACCTTCCTCTGTTCCTTCATCCACCTTCCTAACACCCTGGTGTGCAGGTTTCTGTGCCTGCCTGCGTGTGGAATGAGCTCAGCATGCTTCAAAAGCACAGAGCGGAGCTAGCTGGCTGTGCGAGTTTTGAACGCGTTGATCCAGACGGCTCGCATACCTGCTAGCTCGCTGTATGTACAGAGGAGGAAATAAATGACTTGCTAGATGATAGAGGAGTCCCCTCGGTGCCCAGTAATGACTGATATGATCATTTAAAGACTTCTGATTTCTAGGCATATCAGTTGAAAGCAGGGTACATTTCAATGTATAATTCAAAATCATTATAATGGCGGTTATGGACCTTCCTCACCTACATATAGTTATTTAAAATAGTGTTGGCGCAATGCTCTATATATGCATACTTGAAGGCTAATCAAAAGTGCATTTTTAAACCACATTCACTGTAAATTTACACATGCATTTTCCAGCAGGTGAGCACCTTGCACCTGCATGCAACAAAGAAGCCCTGTAACCAAGGCGACATCTTTTTATGTGTGACTTTGATCATCTCATCCAACCAGCGTGCGTTAAGTAACACATCTGAAGAAGGAGCAGTCCTTGTATGTGGCTTTCTCTTCCGGGTAGAGTGTTAGAAACGTGGTAAACTTCCCCTCGACAAGTTCCTGTGTGAACCCGTATTCCCTGTCCTGCCCTGTACCTCCCTGGACCAGCCCTGGCCCCCCGCAGTAGCTCCAGCGCTGGTTGTAATCTGTGCTCCCTCTGTGCTCCTCCTCTCACAGTCCTCCTGTTCATCTCAGGAGAAGCTGCACCAGCTGCCCTTCCAGCCCACGCCGGACGAGCTGCACTTCCTCACCAAACACTTCAGCTCCGAGAGCATCACGGACGAGGAGGGACGCCGCTCCCCCGCCATGAGACCGCGCTCCCGCAGCCTGAGGTAGGCGCTCTGTCACAAGTCACGCCGCGTCTGCGTCGTCCACGCGGCAGGTCCATGGCCGCTGGGAGCGAGTCGGACGTCCGGGTGTATCAGTCACACGCACACGTGGACCCGTCCGTCCTTTTGTGTGATTCACGCGGTCCGTCTCCAGCTCAGACGTCTTCTTAGCTCCTCAATCTGTGTGGATTTCCACAATGGTTTATTTTCACTAATTAGCGTAGCTAATGAGGAGTTATAAAATGTTGCTGTTTTGGAGAAATTGTCATGAACAAAGCTGCCAAGAACAAGTGGCAGCGACTGAAGGTGACTTTGAAAAGTTGTTTAAGCTGCAGCCAGCAGCCCCCACACATGTGCGGGGCGGACGAGCCTCGGTGGAAAGCCTGACATCAGTTAGTCCGCCAGCAGTGAGCGTCATTAAAAAGCTCTTAGCGAGCGGTGTGCAGACAGTCTGCGAGAGCTGATAAATAACCAACCGAGAGGCAGGCGCAGGATTAGTAAGGTTTCTATTAGTCGGTTCCATTTTGGATCCAGTTCCAAATTGATAGAATACCCTGAACAGGGTGGTAGTAAGAGGAGAAGGCATTGAGAATTGTTGGAGAATGAGACGATATGGAGCAGAGCCAGAAATGCTTGGGAGAGATGATGATTATGATTGCAGCCGGGGGGGAGGAACAAGTGTGTCTGTGTATGAGAAGGAGAGAGCATATGAAAACGCGCGGCAGAACACAATTAAATGCAAATTTTATGACTGTGATGTGAGTGATGGCGGTGCCCCTTTTTTTTAACAGTGTGTCTGTTCGTCTCCCAAATTGTATTCTCCACCTCTCAGCCCATTCTTGTCCCGTTTAGTTTCGTCAGTACATCCATCACTTCTCACACCTCCGCTATCGGGCTCGTCTGTCCACCGTCCACTCTTCCGTACACTTGGAGAGAGAGACACACCCATCCATCACTCACACGCCACCATTAACTGCTTGGATGGTTTCACTCCTTAGACTTTCTGTCTGGAAAAGCACATATTCTGTATCCCGTCCCACATATCAATACTCATGCAACATAAACAAGTCTAGCTCTTTTCCCACGTGCTGTCAGAATGCGCAAACATGTCTGATTTATCTTTAATTAACTGCCACAGAGTAAGTAGAATGAGAGTTTTATCTTCCACTTTGGATTCATCACAGGCGTCTTCTTGCGGAACTAATGCAACCTTGTCATATAGAAAAAATGAAAATATACAACCTAAATAACAAATCAAGGGAAATAATAAATATGACTTAATACTGAAGAAAGAGATTTACCCAAACATATCTGCAGTCTTCAGGCTTTTAGGAGGCTTTACATGGTTTATAGTCATAGATAGTAGAAATAATCACTAACATATTTCTTTATATACAGATAACAACAACAGAAAGATTCACGACACAAAGCTTTGACTTTTGTCTCCAGTAGCTCAACATTGATCGTCAAAATGGCAGCTGAATTATTGAAATTAAAAAACGCATTATGCTGGAAGCATTAATATGGCTTCCTATATAACAGCTTTTTCCTGAAATAAGCCTGTTTTAGATAAAGGTCCAGTTCCCCTCTGTTTTCATCCTCCTGCCCAAATTTGAAGAGATGTTTTTAGTGGAATCATGAACTTTCATCGCAGGACGTTGACCACACACAATCACAGAAGTCATTAGCACGCGCGCACACACACACACACACACACACACCTCATCCACATTCTGCCTGCCTCTGTGTCACGCTCAATTAGGCCTCTCATTTCCCAAGTCCCCCGCCTCAGTTGTGGAGCATCAATGTTATTTTTTCTCACCCTCCCTTCTCTCTCTCTCTCTCTCTCCTCACGCCACCCGCCTCGCCGTCACCATCGGATCCGCTGTCTCGTCTGATTTACTTCAATTACCCCGTCCTCCAATGAGCTCTTTTGCATTTTGAGTGGCTTTTGTCAGATGTGACATCACCACTTAGCCGGCCCCGGGGGGGAGGAAACACCTTTCCCACCACCTTTCAGTTATCCAATTTTACAAAGCGCCTCGAGGTTGAGACTTGTATTGTGTTTCATAAATATTTCTCACACCTTTAAACTAGTTTCCCCAGTCTAAAACAAAAGTATTCTCCCTCAACTTCCTTCAAATGCTCGTTTCCAAGGTCGTTTCTCAAAATAATGACGCAGAAGTCTTTCACAGGGATTGCCGCGAGGCGCTTTTTATTTCCCATTACAGTGCAACCGTAGCCGTGCTCTAATTAGCCTTTGTCTGGCTTTCCTGCGGTATTCATCTCGGGGACTCCTCTCCGACCTCCTCTGCAGCTCGCTCTCTGAACGGGAGCTTTATTTTAATAAAGGCTCCGGCTGCTCAGAGCCACGAGCACACAGGAGGAATAACACCGAGAGAAGAAGAAGTGGAAATGAAAGAATGTAAATAAGAGCCTCTGGCACTGAATCCATCTGAGTCAAAGCTAACCTTTAATTACTGAGCCCGGTGGCAAAGCCGTCTGTCCGGGTTTTGATCCATTTATTTCTTGAACATGAAAGGAGTTTTAAAGTTCAGCGTGATTGACGTACATCAGTGACGGTTTAGTCCGGGTCGGTGAGTGGGTGCACATAAGGGTCAGTCCACCCAAGTTACAATTAAACTACGTTCTCACTTTCCTTCAGAGTAATGCTCTCAGAAACCTCCACTAATATATTCCCAACACTTGTATCATACTGTCCATTGAAATCGTGTAGCTGCTTTAAATCACAACTCTTTTCCCATTGAAAGTTTGCCAGAAGAGAAATTCTGTTATGTTATTTTAACTGCTGCAAGCTTATTGTTTAAAACCTCTAGAAAGGCTTTTACGTACAGTAGTAGACAGAGTAGTAAATCCTTTCCAGTGTTAACTATATTGTCCCCACACACAGACTCACTGTGATGATGTATAAAAGCCTAAAAGAAACATAACAACCCCACATAGAAGTGTAATATACTGCTGTGGGGGCAGAAATATGAACAAAATGATCATGAAACCAAAGCAGGTGGAAACAAAAGAAAAATGGAAGCACAGTTACGTACGGGATTTTGTGTGTGCGTGGTCACTTGTCATCGTGTGCGGTGGCGTAATGATGAACGGGCTGCGTGAGGCGTTGCTCGTATGTCACATTCAGCCGGCTCCCAGTCCTATTAAGCTGGTAATTGGACTTTGAGCTGCAAATGAATGACCTAAAGCATTACCTCATCAGGTGTGTGTGTGTATACCGATGACTCATACCAACATCTGGAGCCCCACATTCTTTTACCTCACCTAGCTTCTTCTCACCTTGTAGCACTCAGTCCCTCCAGGAATGTTTTCAACTTATTTCTGCTTTTATTTGTTTTTTATTTTATGGTATTGTTGAAAAAAATGTATAAAATATTTTTTGCTTAATTCTTTATTTTGATACTGTTTTAGATTTGTTGGATTGGAAATATTTCTAGATTAATTTTTATACATTTCTGTGTATTTTAAAACAGGACAGAATTGATATCAAACAAACAAGTCTTGATTGTAAGAGTGAGAAACAAGACGAGGCTCGTCATGTGTATCTAACACAACAATTGCAATTTTTATTGCATACTGTTTACTGTCATAAATGGGTGTGATGAATAATACAGCAGGCTAACAAAACCTAAAATTATCTGGAATCAAGTATTCATTTCCTCAACACACACACACAGCCTCCGCCTGTCCCACGTCGCCATCCCCTATTCTTAGGAAAGTGAGATGTGGAAAGGTCAAGTGTGTGTGTGTGTGTGTGTGTGTGTGTGTGTGTGTGTGTGTGTGTGTGTGTGTGTGTGTGTGTGTGTGTGTGTGTGTGTGTGTGTGTGTGTGTGTGTGTGTGTGTGTGTGTGTGTGGAGGGGGGAGGCAGGTGTATGACAGCATAAGTCCCAGGAGGAGGGCAATAGAGAGAAGACCGAGTGCACTGTGTGAAAAGAAGGATGGATTGATATTCTGTTGGAATGAAGGAGACATCACTGTCAGTCTGCCAGGTCATAAAACCTCCCTGAGGACTGACAAACACTCACTGCAGTTGGGCTGTGGACAGCCTTGGTTCATAACTGACAGCTAGACAGTCCTCGGATCTCCAGAAGCGTTACCTTTTTTTTGCCGTTCTGTGTGTGCAACCATCTGAGACCGGAGGTGGTCATGGTCTCGGCTTTACACAGCTCCAGACACACACGTGATGAAGACCCCGCGGTCCTGTTAGCACGCGTGGCTGCCATCCAGCTTTTATCCCCTTGCGTTGGAGGGATCGCACCAGTGCAGTCTGGTCAGCTGTGTGTCTGCAGCTCGGGGGACAAGCAGCGCTCCCAGCAGGCTTTATCTTTCAGGAAAACTATTGCTCATCTCTGCAACTTCATTTTATCATTCAATCCTTGAAATAGCCCTGAGAATGGTTGTGGGTCACTTTTTCACCAAATTACATTTGGTGAAATCACGAGAATGAGGTGTTAAAAAATAGCATCAATGCTAACAATGCTACTTCAGTACTACTAAATGTCACAGGATGACACTGAGCAGGTATTTAAATACTAAGGATGTGTACCGATTGTTGCCAACTTCTTTGACTGTGATTTTATTGAAAATAATGCTCTTTGTGGGTGACCTTCTATCCCAGGTAAAGGCCGGTGGCCCAGGTAGGGGATTCTCCAACACGCCCACACATCTGCTGATCTACCAACGTCTTGGCTGGCTGCTTTTATTAAAATGTTTTTATTACAGAATGACACTTCAATGAGCTCCGAGTGTATCCACTACGCTGTGTTTGTCGTTCATTCCAGCCCCGGCCGCTCGCCCATCTCCTTCGACCATGAGATCGTGATGATGAACCATGTGTACAAGGAAAGGTTTCCCAAGGTTTGTACCGGAGGCGCACACTTCCTGTAGAGAACCAAGGCTCTGTGGATGTAACGGAGAGAAAGAGGAATGATGATCACGAAACGTCTACTAACCCTAGAAATAAGTCATTGTTAATTACCTTGATTAAGTTTGAGACCAAAACCACATTGTCAAGATTTCATGTAAGTAAAAGGGTCTAGATTTTAGATATTTGTTGATATATGTGCGATATGGTGATGTATGAAGACTTTGTCATGTATTTAACATTTTCTGGTCACGTATGTGACCGTCAGATATGCTTATACCTCTGCTGTGACTCATCCCCCCTCCCCGCTGCCCCCTCAGGCGACGGCTCAAATGGAGGAGCGTCTGGCCGAGCTGCTTTGCTCCTCGGCCCCGGACAAGGTGTGCCCGCTGGCCGACGGGGTCCTGAGCTTCATCCACCACCAGCTGACGGAGCTGTCCAGAGACTGCCTGTTGAAAAGCAGAGAGGGCCTCATCACCTCCCGCTACTTCTACGAGCTCCAGGGGAACCTGGAGAAGCTGCTGCAGGACGTAAGTGGAGCAATGCTCATTTTTTCAGTGTTATTAAGGTGACTGTATATGATGGAACGACGTCCAACATTTATATTCATGGGCAACCTTTCATATCAAAACAGGTAAACCGTGCATTGTAATTCTAAACAGAAAGGAAATATATGGGAAAAAATAGCAGAATAGTAGAAAGTTTTTTTTTTTTAAACAGTTACGTATCAGGGCTCAAGGACAAGATGGTGGAATTCAATAGAAAACATTTAGAAACTAACTGAAAGATTCATCTAAATTGCCTGAAGGACTGATTTAATGTTTCAAAACATAAACATACATGACCAGTTCAGATAAGATCCTGGCATTTTCATCCTCACATTTTGACTCATTATAGCTGGTGAAGCAAAGATTTAACTATGAACCTTAGAGATGGTTTTGATTCATGAAGCCTGTCAAACCCTAATTGGGGTGGTCTTTTCTGAAAAAAATTGTGAGAAAATTAAGTTTTTGTTTTGTGACCCCCATAGTTTCCCCATTACTTTCTACACAGTAACTGGACATTTTTTTGCAGGGTCTTAAATGTAAATTTGTGTGTTCACATTGCCAACATAACACCGTTTAGTAGGTGCGAGTAAAAATGCAAACCGTTCACCACATATGAAACTGAAAAAACTGCACTAGCGTTTACTATGGTGAAATATCACTAATTGACAAACTGCATCAAACCTTTTTGTAATTTCCCAACATGGACCAAACGAAAAGTCTGTCCTGGACTGTGATGAAGCCACCGGGACCGTGGCCGCCTCCCAGTCACACTCGGCTTACCGTGGAACAACTCACGGCGTGACGCGCGCCCCCGCTCGCACGACCGCCAGTCTTTGTGTCTTCGTATGACATCACACAGTACGGCATTATTGACAAACAACTCTGATTGGCTTAACCCTACTTCACGCGATGGGATCGCTTCGGACAGCTTTTCTGTGTTCACGCGTGTGTTTGTGTGCACAGAGATACATTTACGTGTGTGTTTGTGTGGCAGTGGTGACATCTCTATTAGCTCAGTTTTCCAGTACCGGGGGGGCATTATGGCTCCCACCAGCCTGTTATTGACCTTCTGTTCTACTGGGACACACACACATATATGCAGGCGAGCATATTCTCACACACACACACGTGCGCGCACATCCTTCCCGATTTTAATTTCACACTCCACTAGTCACCGGGGGCTGACGGATGACTCTACTAGACAAGCAGGAGGGACGAAGGAGGTGCAATCCGAGGCTTTTTGGGATGGGCGGGGCTCCAAGGGGATTCCTCTGTATCTGATTGGCCGACGGGCTCAGAGGGAGGAAGATAGAGTGCACGTGCCCCTTCTTGGAGGGTGTGGGCAGCTGGACTTGAACACATCTGGACCAGACGCCGAAGCTGCAATGCAGGGCTGTGTGATGACATCATCAATTAGGCGGCGTTAGGCTGGCTTTTTTCTCATTTGTTTTTTTGGCGGGTGGCCAAGCAGCAGGTGGAGCAGAGCTACAGAGTAGAGGAGAGGATGGAGGCCGTGAGCGAGTGGACGGAGGTGTGAGGACAGCCTCCCTGCCTGCGTTGTTTTATGGAAAATTCGCGTTTTGGGGTTTTGGCTCTTTGGTGGAATCATGTCTCGCATCTCGTGGCAGAGGAGGCTGGAGGAGGAGGAGGAGGTGCTGGAGGATGTGATGAGGAAGAGCAAGTGGAAGGTGGTCACCCACAGCTGGGAGGAGGAGGAGGAGGCAGATGCAGACTTTACAGTTGAGTCAATTTCGGTTTGATTGCGTTCGGCTTTGTCGGAACTTGTTTATGCTGAAGACGACAAAGATGAGGAGCGTTCTTCTCTTTACTTTGTGTCAGAGACTTTTAATGCTGCTAACAGCGTCAACAGTCTTTTACTTTGAAATGTATTTCAGCTTAGCTTTCTGCTTCGAGTTTGTTTATAGGAGCTGCTTCTAACTGTTACTACTAACCGTTATGTACACAGCCCTCAAAATCCTATTTCAGTATAATTTAGTTTAAACAAAAACTGCTTTCTCCAAGAGACACATGGCCACGTTTCAACATTTCCCAAAGAGATCCTTTTCCAGAGTTTAATGGCAGATACATGAATTATTGAATCGTGTTGTAATCAGTCAACTGCTGTGAGTGTTTTCATCTGGAGCCTGTTAATAATTCAGACTTTAAATGAGTCATCAGGCCATTTAAGCTGGTGGAGTGACAGTGTGATGTATAGTATTTTGATTAATTCCTTTAGATCATTTAATAATGAGGTGTAAAAATGCTTTTAGATTACATTTAAAGCATTTCTACTGAACATATTAATGTATTATTCAGCCCTTTTGGATGTTGTGCAGATCAGAAGGATGTCCATGACATAGTGACATTACGGACTGATGAATGATGCCTTCACTGCTTGACTGTTTGAGTCGGACAACTCTCTCTGAAGTTTTATATCTTCTCTTCTGGTGTTAATCAGGTTAAAGGGTCACTTTTGGTCAGACCACGATACGGACATTCTTAAATCTTAAATCTATTATCCATCATAATTCATTATAGTAACTTCATAGAGTGTCATGATATTGATATAAAATGTCTTAATTTTTTCTGAAAAATTACAGAAATTCATAAATAATAAATAACCACCGGTGAATGTTTTATTTTGGATTCTTTAAGGGAACAGTTGCCTGTACCGTTGCTAAAGCTGTGCGGGACAATTAACATAATCTTATGGTAAATATAGTCCCAAATCGCCAACCAAGGCCTCACCAGGCCGCCTCCCCAATTCAGTGGAAGTTAAAGTAATTTATTTATGGTGATAAGAATTTCCTCGTTCTCGAAATAGTGTGTCAATGATTTGGGTGAACTGACCCTTTAAGCCGTGTCCCTTTTCCTCTCGTGAGGCATTAAGTATTTTTCTGAAAAGGTATAACACGTGTTATACTTTTCAATGTATAGGACCAACGTCCAAACTAGTTTTCATCAGTCCACTCCCTCTCGTCTTGGAATGCCTTTGTCCTCCTTGCTTACCCTTTCCCTCATTCAGCCATCCGCTCTTTCTCCCCTGTTTCTCCCCTCGTGTCATGACCTCATTACAGAGCTCGCAGGAGGCCGGATCACCTTCCCTCCTTCGGTCCTCTTCTTGTCTTTTATCTCTCCTTCACCTTTACCCTGTCTCCTTCGTCTCTCTCTCTCTCCTCTGCTGCGCGTCCTCTCCTCCTCTCCCTTATCCATCCCTGTCAGGGGGCATTAGTGACCCCGCCTGCCGGTTACCATGGCAACCTGTGTCCAGGCCATCCTCTGTTGCACCCCCAGGGAGACCCTGTTAGACCCCCGTGGGTCACCTGAGGGCAGAGTGCTAACTCTGCTCTGGTCACCTCGCATCAATCAGTCGGCATGAAACTCCAGCGTGATCATCAGGTCCCACATACAGCTGCTAACATCTGGGTTCGATTGGCTCTCAGCTGGACGCAGGTATAAACCTGCATGGACAAAGCGAAGAGGTCTGAGTGGGTCATGTCACCTCTTTGCTGTTCATTTCTGAGGGGGCAAGTTTCTTGACTGATTGCCTGGAATGTCGTGCTAGGTCACATGACTGGAACATAACATATTTTACCTTCAACCATAAATCACCATCCGAGTGTTTTATCTGTATAAGATACATGGATGTAACAATGGCATAAATACAAAATAATTTGTATTTGGTGCAGTTTGGACCCAAGTCCTGCGATGTTATTTTGAGCTATACAAAGTCAATTTTACTGAAAGTGTTTTTTTTGTTATTTACATTAATAATATCTTATAAAGATTAAGTCATTTTTGCATTATTGGGACCATTCAGTCATTTTTATAGCTAAATTTGGCCTTTATGGAAAAGTGTTCGCTTAACAGACTTGATTGCGGCTAAATGATGAGACAAAAGCTTTAGAGATTTGTCAAAACATGGAAAATTTAAATCTACAGATTATATCACACAGTACACACGTGCATATAAGGTGTTAACACATATGTTCTGTCTTGTGTAGCTCACCAGGGAATCTCTCTACATCAGACATGCAAAGTTAACATACATGATGTGTCTCTCTCTCTCTCACACACAATCTCTCTCTGTCTGACTGGTTAATTAGCCTCTGCGCAGTGAGAGGTTGATCCCTCAGCTGTCCATTACTCACCGATCGCTGCCCTGTACAGTCACCTCACACACACACACACACACACACACACACACACACACACACACACACACACATTCAGGTTCTTTCCGCTTACATATATACACCCTAATACATATTTAGCGGGCACATTTAGACACCCCGTCCCCCTCAAGCTCTCATTAGAGTTATAAATAATTCAGGTGGGGGTCTGTGTCAGCACAGTGCTGTTAGACAAACAGCAAAGGGGCTGCACATACTTTGTTTATGAGCCACCAGCTGGCTCTCTGTTAGCCTGTTACACATTACCCCCCAGAGAAGGAAATGTATTTTACAGTGGGGGGTTTGTAATTGTTACAGCTTCCACTTTGCACACACACACACAGACACACTTCCACCCCATTTCTTTCCGGGGATCGGTGTCTGCTGCAGATGCGTTTGCAGTCAGTTACAGTGGATTGCTGGGTAAATTGCTCTGTGTCCACACTGACAGACATTTCACGGTGGATATGAGCGAGCGAGGCGGAGGTCATTCTGATTTAGATTACCTCTCAGGTGTCACAGAGGGAGGGACTCAGCCGTCCCCTTGTCCTCAAACTGTTTGTTTGTGAAGGGCAAACACAATGCAAGAGGCATGCTCTGCACAGCTCCAAGGTCAGAGAAGACTTCATGATGATGAATTATTGAAAACAAGATGAAATATAATAAATGGATGTTATTATGAGGAGTCAGTCATCTGGCTTCTAACACTGAAAGAAATTGAAGGTGAAATGTTCCAGGCTGACCTCCCGTCCCGTTGCTCTGTTGTCTTTGTGTGTTCAGGCTCACGAGCGCTCAGAGAGTGTGGAGGTCACCTTCGTGACTCAACTCGTCAGGAAGCTGATGATCATCATCGCCCGGCCAGCGCGTCTGCTGGAGTGTCTGGTGAGTGAAAACAACTCCATCAAGAAACCCCCCTATTTACAAAATGTCAGGAGGGGTGGAGTCAGACGTGAGTGAGCTCCTCACCTCAGCTGCAGGCTACGTCAACACACGCCAGTCTTTGACCAAGTTGCATTCTGGGTCAAGTAGATGCTAGGTTTTAACAATGTACCACCAATATATCATTCTTGTAATACTTGTGTAATAGTATTTTCCTCCTAATTTCTTTTTGTAAAGTTTGGGATACAGCAGTAGTCTTACGCTGTGGTAGTGTTGCTCATGTACGGTGAGCGACAAAAGGATTACAAAAAAAGGCAGACAAACAACATTAAACCGTGAATGAAATAACACAAAACTTAAAACTTAAAATGTTAAACATCACATTAGAGCTGCAGCAAACAAAGTCGCTCTTCATGTTATTAGACTTTGAATTCATAAAATAAACCGAAATCATGCAAATAAGCCTTAAGTTAGACATGTTAAATTACATTTTAGTCTCATTAATGTAGCGTTGTTAACTTTTCTAAACTGTTTTAATCAGCCTCGTCCCGGTTGGTTTTCCGCAACGAGTAGTTTTGCATTTTAATCACGCTACTGCACTGTGGTGTGAATTAGTCTGTTAGAAATAGCGCCATGAAAGATATGACCAATATTAACTGGAATAGCTTTTTCATTTTGTACCGCACGACTGCGCGCATGATTAATTAACAATTTAGAGCTTCCTGCTCCCTGCCGTGAAATGATTCAACCACAGCAATTCATTTGTGCACTTCCTCTGAGCATTTTAAATTTCCCTAATGTGCACACTAACACACACTCACAAACACACATTAGCACTAAGCACAGAGCTCCATCCACTTGGGTTGAAAAGGTGCAAATCTGCTGAATCCAACCGAATGGAAAGAAAAAAAAAAACAGTGTAGAAGACAGAGGTCTAATGGGGTGGGGGGGGGGCACATACGCACATTGGTGGTGTAGACTAATCGCGCGCTACTGAAGCCATGACCGCTTACAGGGGGAGTTTTACAAATGGAAGCACACAGTTAAAGGGGAGGGGGGGTGTTCATACATGTATACTGGATACGCTGCATGTGTGTGTATGTGAGAGGGTCTATACACTCACATCTCGGACACAGCGATTTTAATACATGACAACCAAAAAAGTGATTTGATTACAGTGTTTCCCTTTTCCATACACCCACGGGAGGGGAGGGGAGGGGAGGGGGGGGGGGGTGTCCTCCTCCCTGAAATGACCTCTCGCCCTTCTAAAAAAAAGTCTTAAAAAAGAGAATTTTTCAGCAGCAGCAGCAGTTCCTCCACGACACGTGAGCAAATACGCCCGTGTATGCTGCCACGTGGCGCTCGCACCATTGGACGGACTACCCATGTTCTTGATATATATTTTTTTATATCTCTCTACCCCCACCCCCCCTGCAGGAGTTTGATCCTGAGGAGTTCTACCATTTGTTGGAAGCAGCAGAGGGCCATGCCAAGGAGGGCCAAGGCATCAAGTGCGACATCCCGCGATACATCATCAGCCAGCTGGGCCTCACCAGGGATCCGCTGGAGGGTATTTTATTTTATTTTATTTTAGTGAGAACCACGTGGAAACGTTGATTATGGTAACTTATACTTGGCTCTCTGTAGAAATGGCCCAGCTGAGCAGCTATGACAGTGGGAACCCAGAAACTCCAGAGACGGACGATTCAGTGGACGTGAGTACATAATCGTATCCATCTCATCCATCCCAGCTGTGTTCGACTATGTCCATAAGGATGAAATTAAAAGAACACTCTACCTGCAAAAGCAACTGATGTGAAGGTTTTACCTTCTCTTTAATAAACACGCATATACAAATGAAAAGGAAAAATGGTCCTAGTTGGTGAATGAATAAACAAGCTTATTAATTCATTCATTAAAGACTTTGCTTGGGTGTGTTTCATGTGCTTTAGGGCCAAGGCACCCCGGTCCCAGCAGCTCCTCCACAGTCTAAAACCAAAGCACCTCGAGAGGAGGACTTTGAAAACATCAAGCTCATCAGCAACGGAGCCTACGGGTGAGACAAAACAATATTTACATCTTTTGATATTCTCATATCAATACATAATTGCTGCATTGCAAAACAAAAAATGAAGGTGTTAAGTGAAACAAATTGGTTATTTACATTGGGACTCCTGTCTCTTCCTGCGCAGCACCGTGTTTCTGGTGCGTCACAAGGAGACCCGGCAGCGTTTCGCCATGAAGAAGATCAACAAGCAGAACCTGATCCTGAGGAACCAGATCCAGCAGGCCTTCGTGGAACGGGACATCCTGACGTTTGCCGAGAACCCGTTTGTCGTCTCCATGTTCTGTTCCTTCGAGACCAGGCGGCACCTGTGCATGGTGATGGAGTACGTGGAGGGTAAGACAATCGTGGTCCCAGCGATGGTTCACTGCTGCCGGTCGCCGCTGTGTGGTGGTTAACGGGGCGCGTGTCCTCTGTAGGTGGAGACTGTGCCACGCTGCTGAAGAATATTGGAGCTCTGCCGGTGGACATGGCCCGTATGTACTTTGCAGAGACGGTCCTCGCGCTAGAGTATCTTCACAATTATGGCATCGTCCACAGAGACCTCAAACCTGACAAGTAGGACATCTTATTTCACTGACATTCATATCAAGTATTTCCTAATCAGCACATTAATACAATTAAATGGAGCATTTTCTAAATGGATTTTGTATAATCACTGAGCAATGGTAGATGGACCTTTTATTTGTAAAGCGTCTCACTAGTCTGGCAGAGAATGATTCAGCTAAAGCAAAGTGCTTGTATGACCTAACTTCTCCTCTGCTCTCCTGCAGTCTTCTCATCACCTCCATGGGACACATTAAGCTGACAGACTTTGGTCTCTCAAAGATCGGTTTGATGAGCTTGACCACAAACCTGTATGAAGGACACATAGAGAAAGACGCCAGAGAGTTCCTCGATAAACAGGTACAAGCTAACGGTGGTGGCGGTTGGATGTTTATAAACTGTAATAGCAGCCTATTAAATACATTAATGTTACACATATTCATGAAATCTCTATAGGCATTTATCTCAGCCACTAGCCTGTGTAGTTAACTTGCACATATGTAACTTGTCGTGGAATTGATAGGCATTTTTCCTGTTTTTTTCTTCTTCTGCATAAAATTTGCATCCTTTGGTGGTTTTATTTGCTGCTGCTGACGCTGATTTCCTATTTGCCGATTCCTCTCCAGGTGTGTGGCACCCCAGAGTATATCGCCCCGGAGGTGATTCTGCGTCAGGGCTACGGGAAGCCGGTGGACTGGTGGGCCATGGGGGTCATCCTGTACGAGTTCCTGGTGGGCTGTGCTCCGTTCTTCGGAGACACACCGGAGGAGCTGTTCGGTCAGGTCATCAGCGGTGAGTCTCGGCTCTGACGCGCTGTAACCGCCCTTTAACGAGAAACGTTTGCAGTCGGTCATGATCACCATCAGTTCAATAAAGCAATTAAATCTTTGTTGAGGAGTCGAAATCCACTTGACAGTCAGACAAGACATCAGGGCCACACATTAATTATAAATTAATTAATATATATTAATTAAATTAATTTATATATATATATATATATATATATATATATATATATATATATATATATATATATATATATATTCATGTTACTTGCCAGCCAGAAAGGTTCCCCCACCATCAGAGCATGTGCTCATAAACTGAACCAGCTTCCCGAGCCCAAGTCGTCATTTTGAGGAGTCGTGGACGATAAACTGCTTAATGTTTATAATTCTAAATATACATTTACGCAGAGTAGACGTACGTAGATTACAGGGAACCGCTAATATAAATAACGATACACAGCAAATGCATTTATTCATTTTCCCCTGAGCTTCAGCCATGCGGTTTTCTGGTCTCTAAAAAAAACAAAAGTCTTTGGCAAAAGTATTTTTCAATATTTGATGTTGTGTGGTTCATGTTCAGTTCATGTTTCCTGTTGTAGCCTGAGCGGTCCGGGTTGACTTGATAAGATCATAGACTGATAGAGGTGTTACTCTACAGCAGAGAGGCACCGCCTTGATTTATAGGGAATTAAATCAGTTGTTATTCCTCCTCTATGTTCTTTTCTCCCTCAGCTTACCTTAGATGAAAGGGCAAGTCAATGATCATAAACCTGCATTGATTCCTGCATATCTCTTGTTGTGTTACGAGTGCGTCCCTCCATATTGATGTGCCGTGGTGATAAAGAACCGAGGCTCTCCATTAACCTTGAATGTATTTTTCTGTCCATCTCCACGATGGTTGTCAGTAAGGTGCATCATGTGAGGCAGAACGCTCGGGTGACGTCTGTGGAACCACAAAGACTAAATGTAGCGGGATTAATGTACACAAACTGTTAGTTGGATGATGTGTCCAATAAGATGGAAGCCTGTGTGCTTTCTGACATGAACGTAGCAGCTGCTGGGAGCCAGTGATCTAGATCAACCACTTGCCTTTGTTTCCAACCTGTCTGATTGTCTACTATTCTTCTTATCGTGTGAGGCCAAGAGGATGCCTTCATACCACTTATTAAAGCATCACACTCAAGACATGTTTCATGAGGAAAGATCTTTTGTGTGTTCTTACACTATGTAACGCCCCCATAGCTTTCCTACGCTGCGGTTTGGGCCAGGTCACTCTTATAGGAGAGGTGAACCATCTCAAGGCACTGATCAAAGTATGAAGCCCAAAACCACCAAATGATCGGTGCAGTAAGCTGTAGCACAGGAGATCAGGCCCAGCTCGTCTGGCAGAATTTGGTCTTTTTCGTTCAATATTTTTGTGAAATAAACCGAGACATTAATTGCATCAAACTGTGGTCAGTTTCTACACAAAAACCGAACGTGGAGACACACAATATGCCAAAATCACTTGCATATTTGTGTTTTGCTATAAGTAGTTCGACATGGGTGAAGATCAACTCATGGCGGTCAGTGGGGCTGACAAGTCAGCGAACCGGACAGTGTCTCATTTATTGTCTCACTGACAAGACACATGTGTTGACACTGTTTGTGTGTTTGTCTTAGATGAAATCATCTGGCCGGAGGAGGAAGAAGCTCTTCCTCAGGAAGCTCAGGACCTCATCTGTAAGCTGCTAAGACAAAATCCTTTGGAGAGACTTGGCACAGGTAACACATGCACACACCTTACTGAGATGTTCAGGAACCGGGTTCTCTTGGTCCATACACTTGACTTTCCCTTGTCTGTTAGTTTTCAGTCTTTCTCTTTGGATCTGACATTTTTTTGTCTATTTTCCACCAAGAGTTTCAAAATAAAGGGACAACCAGACTCCACCTGCTGTTTGCTGCAGAGCTGGTCAAATCAAACGCTGTAGCTGCCGGGGCGCGTTTTCATCCATTTCATCTCTCTCTCTTCCTTCACTTCCCCTCTCCCTTTTTTGTGCCCCTTCATCTCCACAGGCAGTGCCTTTGAGGTGAAGCAGCACTCGTTCTTCACAGACCTGGACTGGAACAGCCTGCTGAGGCAGAAAGCCGAGTTCATTCCGCAGCTGGAGTCTGAGGACGACACCAGCTACTTTGACAGTATGTGTCTCTTCTGCTGTGTCCACATCTCATGTGTTTACACGTTAATCAACACACAACCTAATCGCTGTGTGTGTGTCTCTCTCAGCTCGTTCCGACCGGTACCACCATCTAGATTCAGAGGAAGAGGACGATACCAACGATGACGAACATGTGGAGATTCGACAGTTCTCCTCCTGCTCGCCTCGTTTCAGCAAGGTAAACCTTAATTAATACCTCCAGATGGTTCCAAGAGGCGGGAGACGGCCCTGTGGTGGTTTCGCACTGTCGCTCACGGTTCGAAACCACCCCAGTGCCGTTTCTGTGTGGAGTTTGAATGGGTTCTCTGAGAGTACTCCGGCTTCCTCCCACGGCCCAGCTGACTGGCAGCTCAAACATTCAAACTCCACTGATCCAATTCCTAAATAAATCGAGCTGTTTCTGAACCTTCTCCTGAAGATGTGAGCTACAGAAACACACTGTTATCTGTTATCAAAAAGGCAAATGTGCATTGTACTGCTGAGGAACCGAGGAAAAAGGGTGTGAGTTTGTTTTTGAAGCCGCCGTCATTAACACCGCTGGCCGAAGACTCCGCCTGTCCCAGTGTCCGGTGCTGACGTTACCGACATGTGGTGTGCAGGTGTACAGCAGTATGGAGCGTCTGTCTCTGCACGAGGACAAGAGGACTCCTCCTCCCACCAAACGCAGCCTCAGTGAGGAAGGAGGAGATCGCATCGACAGCCTGTGCGGACTCAAGTCCAGAGATCGATCCTGGCTGGTGGGATCTCCAGAGATGTGAGTTCTTCAGCTGCAGATCACATCACAGCAACGTGTGTTTCCTGTTCTTGCTGCAGAGTGGATATGGATTCGTACAAGAAATGAGCTGCTCTTTAGTTTCAAGTCCATTAGGACTTTTGTTCCTTGGAGACTTACTAAAGAATCCTTAAAAACCTCTATGTTTCAAGGAATGCTTATAGTCAGTTTAACCCTTGGTTACTCTTACGGCTGCTGTGTTTTGTGTTGTCTCACTGTGTTATAGACGTGTACCTGTTTCTCATCCCCTCTCTTAACTTAACCTCCCCAGCCTGCGGAAGCGCCTGTCCGTCTCGGAGTCGTCCCACACAGAGAGCGACTCCAGCCCCCCCTTGACCGTTCGGCGGCGCTGCTGTTCAGCGATCATTGAGATGCCCCGCTTCGCCATCTCCTCCGAGGAAGAGGGAGGTCAAGGTAAATCACAGGAAGGACGCTGTGATTCCCTCTATGGGCCCTGAAACGAGGGCCCTTCACGATAGGCAGGGAACCCCGCGGAGTTGTAAGCAATACATGCAGAGTGTGATGCATGAACTGCTGGTCTCTCAGGTGCAGCTGGATGCCGTAAGAGTCCCAGCCTGGGTCCGAGTGCAGTGAGGGGCCCGCGATCTGACGAGCACCCCCTCGCCATCCCAGAGCTCCCGGTGGAGAGAGAACTGAAGCTGGATGAGTCTCCCACCACACCGAGCTCCACCTGCAGCCCACTGAGCAAGGCCCCGCTCACATGTCAGTACAAACACGCACTGTGGAGACACAGGGGTTAAGAAAGTCAGTGGCTGAAAACATGCAGTTTGCCCAAAATACAAGTTTAATCTGTGAATAGTAGGTCTACTAATAAAGCCTTATGATACGGTTTTATGTCATTTAATTGAATTAAATTTGTTTTAGTTGAAGTATATTTAAGTGATTTTATTTCTCTTTTACTCTGATCCAAAATATTGTGACCATCTGTAACGGATGAAATTATTATATATATATATATATATATATATATATAATGGGAAACTTCCATCTAATAGCTTTCTGCAGGATTTTTCGAAAAATATGTCTTGAATTTGGTTGAAAAAGCGTACAATTCAATATATTTGCTGTCACTCTCTGAACTCTACTTGACCATACGCTATCTGCGCTTCCTCTCTCGCCCTCCTCTCGCGCTCCAGCGGGTAGTTCAGTCGACGCGAGTGACCGTGGCCTCCGAGTCAACGGCAGTGCCGGCGCGGCTGCTAAAAGTGCATCCGACAACGACTCTCCGTCCACGCCGAGAGCCATCAGCGACCTGGCGGCTCGCAGGGCTCGCCATCGGCTGCTGTCTGGGGATGCGGACAAACACACAGCGGCGCCGAGCTCCCGACCGCTCAACAAGGTCATCAAGTCGGCATCTGCCACCACGCTGTCACTGATGATCCCTGCAGGTCAGTATGTCAGGCTGGGAGCAGCAGGGAGGAGGGGCTGATTTGATGATGTATTTTAACATTTTTAACATCAATTAGAGAAAACAAAAGGATAGAATAAAAACCACACAAAAAAAACAATTGACCAAAAAGAAGGATCCCTGGAAAATAGGTGTGTATGATCCTGGCCTGACAGGAAAAATAACACACAGTTCTGTTGTCTGTCCGCTCTCAGACCACCACGGAGCCTCACCATTGGCCAGCCCGATGTCGCCCCACTCACTGTCGTCCAACCCGTCATCGAGGGACTCCTCCCCGAGCCGCGACCTCTCCCCAGCCGTGAACAGCGTCAAGCCCCCCATGGTGATCCACAGAGCGGGCAAGAAGTACGGCTTCACCCTGAGAGCCATCCGAGTGTACATGGGAGACTCTGACATCTACACTGTACATCACATGGTCTGGGTGAGAAAAACATCTTCAAAACATTCAGCACAAAACGGCACGTACTGGATGTATTAATATGAGGAGATCGGCTATCCGGTATAGAATATACAGAATGAGGGTGGAGTGTGTTGGGATTCTTGCTGTTGGCAGAAGATGGCAGTAAACACCTGAAGAACCGGCCATAAGCCCAGAATACATTTCCATTCCGTCCATTTTTCTGCTTCTCTCCGTCTTTTGGCTCTTGACCTTTTTTTCCCCCCCATCTCCCATCTGACCACCTGTATCTGTTCGCCCTCAGCATGTGGAGGATGGCGGTCCGGCCCAAGATGCAGGTCTGAGGGAGGGGGACCTGATCACCCAAGTTAATGGAGAGCCGGTTCACGGTCTGGTTCACACAGAGGTGGTGGAGCTGATACTGAAGGTACATTCACAATGCTGATAACAGACTAATTGAAGTCTTTCCTCCTCATGTTGCCAAATACATTGGAATTACATATACCTGTTTAATTTTACCAAATGCAGTTGTTTTTAAATAGTATGAGTTTAGCCTTGAATATTGTTTAGAATGAATGATGTACTGATGTTGGCGACATACAAGTTGCTGTTACTAAATGTTTCCTTTTTTTAGTGAAGCCTCACTTAAAACACACAAATACTTCTGCACATCTGTAATATTCGGTCTGTTCTCCTCTCAGAGTGGTGCCAAAGTCTCCATCTCAGCCACCCCGTTTGAGAACACAACCATCAAGGTCGGCCCCGCCCGCAAGACGACCAACAAATCCAAGATGGCGAGACGAAACAAGAAGACCAAGACCAAGGAGGGACAGGAAAGGTGGGTACACACCCCCGTGTGGTATCAGACGCTGCTCGGGTGCATTTGTTACGAGGCTCCCTTGACTGAGCCGCTTTCTTGTCTCGCAGTAAGAAGAGGACGTCTTTGTTCAGGAAGATCACCAAGCAGGCGTCGCTCCTCCACACCAGTCGCAGCTTGTCCTCCCTGAACCGCTCCCTCTCCTCTGGGGAGAGCGGCCCCGGCTCGCCGACTCACAATCTGTCGCCACGGAGCCCGACGCAGGGCTACAGGTCCACGCCAGACTCCGCCCACTCAGGTGAGAGACAACGACTCACCTCGACTCCAATAAAATCATGTATTCCGCGGACATCACAGCTGTCGCAGACTAGTGCCGTATTTGAAGACGCTGCATTTATTCCTCCCCAAGCTGTCGGACTTTTTTGAAACCAGTTTTTCTTCATCTAAGCGAAGCTAAAGCAAACAAAATGTCAGATTAGTGTACTTATAAAGATAGAGAGGGGTTCCAAGTCATTATTCTGATTATTGATTGAATAAACAAACTTTAATTCCTGTGTTCCTGGAGGCGTCTTGTTTTGTCAGCAACCCAAAGATATTCAGTTTAATTACCCCATCTGTTATGTAATGTATGCAAACAATCCATAACTAGTTGAATGCACTTAAGATTTCCATCCAGTTCCATCCATTTACAAATAGTATGTAAAATGACTGATGTACTGATTGAAAGTTAAAATATCTACACATATCTTTACACACCAGCATATTAAATATAAGTCACATGTCATGTCCTCCATGCTGCCCTTCAGTTGGTGGAAACTCGTCCCAGAGCAGCTCCCCGAGCTCCAGCGTGCCAAACTCGCCGGCGAGCTCCGGCCACATCCGGCCCAGCTCCCTGCACGGCCTCGCCCCGAAGCTCCAGCGCCAGTACCGCTCCCCCCGACGCAAGTCTGCCGGGAACATCCCCCTCTCCCCCCTGGCCCGGACGCCTTCGCCCACCCCTCAGAGCTCCTCGCCTCAGCGCTCGCCCTCCCCTCTGCCCAGCCACGCGCTGGCGCAGTCTGCGGTGGGCCAGTCGTTCCCCGTGAAGCTGCACTCCTCCCCTCCCCTGGTGAGGCAGATATCCAGGCCCAAGAGCGCGGAGCCGCCGCGCTCTCCGCTCCTCAAGCGGGTGCAGTCTGCTGAGAAACTGGCCTCCTCGCTCTCCAACCCCCCCTCGTCTCCCTCTGGCGGGGCGGCAGGGGGGGCCACCTCGGGGAGCCGGAAACACAGTCTGGACATCTCGCATTCTGAGTTCAAGAAGGAGATTCTGCAGAGAGAACCGAGCCTACAGAGCCTTCAGGTATGTGGTCGGCACACACAATTCAACAACAAATGGATTTCATTATAGAGGTATTTAAAGATAAAAGATCCAAAAGGATAAATATATCCTATTTAGTGATGTGAAAGCAGTAGTTTGAAAATTGAGCTGTACGAAGGCACCTTAAGTGTAGTCTACGAGCTTTCAGGACGAGCCGTTCTAAGAAGCGTCTCATTCCTCACCAACTTTCAGGAGTCAGCCAGCGAGGGTCTGCTGTCCTCAGCGGGACGCAGCGTGGAGACGGGCAGCCTGCAGAAACACTCCGCCTCATCCAGGAAGCTAGGACGTCAGGAAGGGGACGGCGGCCTCAGCGCCGTGTCGGGCTCGCTGGGCCTGGCCCCCGGGAAGAGCAAGCTGAAGGACAAACTGTCCGCGCATCCGCCAGGACAGGGCCGAGCGGAGGGAGTCGCTCCAGAAGCAGGACGCCATCCACGAGGTCGATTCGTCTGAGGACGAGACGGACGAGGGCTCAGAGGACAGCCAGGACGGACGCAGGGGGGCGACCTTCACTCCTCCTCCCCTGCTGAGGCCCACCACAGTGAGAACGGGCCCCGGAGGCACCCTGCCCTCCCTCTGCCTCTCCCCCTCCGTCCCTCATGCCACCTTCACCCACACAGGGCCCAGCCAGTTAGGCAGGCCCACTCCCATACACACCCTCCCCTCTCTGGCAGAAACGAAGCCTGATCAGAGCTCCCCTTGTCGGGGGGGGAAAGATCCACGGTCTTCTTCAGCAGAAGCAAAACAAGAGGCGAAGGTTCTAGAACCGAGTGGCACCACGAAACCCACTCAGGGCTCCCTTCCCTTCTCCACCCCAGGCAGTGCGTTCATCTCCGTCAGCAAGGAGACTTTCCTCCAGCCAGCTCCTCCTCTGGATACAAAGAGCCTCGGGGGACAGACGGCACCGTCAGAGCCCAGGGCCGAGCACCCAAGCCTGGGCAGCCCTAGAACCAGAGGCCCGTCTGCCGAGTGCAGAACCAGCCCAAATTGCTCCAGAGCGGCCGCCGGTCCTACCGACTGCCAGACTCCAGACGGGCCAGAGACGCCCCGCGCCTCCTGCTCCTCCCCGGGCATCCCCAAGGAGAGGAAAGAGGCCGACAACCGGAGACTTTGCGCTGCGGCGGCGGCGAGCCTTAACGCGTCACCCTCGCTCACGTCGGGCTCCGCCTCCAGTTTCAGCTTCAGCCCCCCGGTTCCGGCCCCTGGGAGCGCCGTGGAGAAGGTTGTGTCCCAGCTTGCGACAGTCGCTAAGAGCGTTCTGAGTCCCGCCAAACTGAGCACCGCCGCAGACAAGAGCCAGAAGCAGCAGACACAATCGGTAGGCGGCACCGCGGCGGTCACACCAACTGGCGCCTCCTCCTTCTCCTCCAAACAGCCCCCGGCCGCTCAGGCACCTCCCCTCCCGGAGTGCCAAACAAGACAGGAAACTGAGCCTGAAGTTGCTTCACCGACGTCGTCCAAAGCCTCGATACAAAAAGACTTTGCAGCCCTACCGCCGTCAGCCCGCAAGGACCCCCCCGAAAGGCCCCCTTCAGGGTCTGCGCGCGCGGACAGCGCCGCCGCGTCTGCGTCCGCCCAGCGGCCGGTCGTGGCAGCCGCTCAGCCCGCCCTCAGCACGCACGCCAGCTCCTCTGCAGCCTCCGAACCACAGCGCAAGACGTGCACAGCTGCCAACGCCGCGCAACAAGACAAAGCAACCAGCAAGAAGACGTAGCAGCAAAAAGCACCGGAAAAGAATGTACATATCGCGCCGCCTTGAGGTTTATAAGTCACACAAACACTGCATGTTTGGATGAAAACATACAGGTAACTCGGCACTAATCAAAGACTTTCAAAGCAAAAGGAAGGCAGAGCTACAACAAGCAAAGACACATGTTTTCCTTGTTCCATTCCAGATGTTCTGTCCTCATGTTGTTGTGAGTTATGTTGGTGTCCTGATTTCAGACTAAGCCAATGGAGGTTGTCGTTTTATTTTTTTCTCCTTGTTTAAAAAAAAGGTCTGGGGCTGGAAATAAAGGGCTCAGCGGTCCGTGCACATCCCGTATCCAAAGCAGACACTTCACGCACACCTTTCTTGCTGACGATCCCGCTTGTGCTGCCTCATTACCCGCACTCATGTTCCTCTAACAGATCAGGGGGTGCCTTGTTGAACACACACGTTTCCTCCCCACGCACAACAGTTTGGCAGAAGATTGTACCTCAGCAATAAAGTGCAGCGTATGATTATCATTCTGTGTAAAACGCATTACATAGTTTTTAATTGGACTAAATCTGCAAAGTCAACGCAGCAGCCGGCTAACTAGGCCAAACTCAATTCCCCTCTTCCATGTAGTCCCTGCTGATCTGACGGGGCCGGCTTGCAGACGGGGAGATGAATTCCCTGAGTTCTGATCCCAGACCCGGTTCAGTGATTTGAAGAGGCTCCGTGGAATGTCAGTGCTGGATTAGATTACAGTGTTTGTGTTGATTTATCAAGTCTAAACTTCTGACTGAATCTGCAGTTCAATGCTTAACTCCTCGCCCTCCTGTGTGTTGTGTGTTGGGCTGCATCACACTTTCCCTCGTGTCTGAATGTATCTCCTGAAGGCCCATTGACACTGCTCTCTGAACGTATCCGTGACAACTGATACATGAATCTAAACTAGAACTTTCCCGTATCTCAGTTACCGGGTTTAACTTGAAATGAAGCCAACGGTCTAAATGCACAGCTGATGTCACACGCCTCAAAGCTTCGCCAACATTCAGCGGTAGAATCCGAGCTGAGCGTGCTCAGAGCGACTGGTCGTTTTCAAAACATTGTTTTGGACGACCGCCGCCTTTTTATTTCGAGCTCCATCAGCCTCTGAGGGCTGCTGTAGTTGTATTTTGGTGTCTGGACCAATATGTTTTTTTTGCCTCCGATCCTGTAAAGATCCTTTGTGCGATTCTGCGTGTGCGTGAGACTATGTGGAAAGTGCATGGTTATGTCTGTATACACAAACATATATATATATATAGATATATATATATATACACCCAATATACACATATTTGTATAGTACCAGTCAAAGGTTTGGACACAATTCAATGAGAAAGTGTGTCCAGATGTTTGACTGGTACTGTGCATAGGATATTTAAAGTTCTGTTGTGCATCTGTTTTATACCCTGTGTGAGTGTTTGTGCGTGGGTTTGTCTGTGTGTGTTTTATGATTAGCTTTGTTCAGGACACCCTGCTACCTGTGTGCGTGTCTCTGTCGGCCTTTGCACAAATCTTTTATCTCATTTGTCAAATGAGTTGCAGCTTAATTCTGCTTTGCTGGGGAAAATCTCAGTTTTGTTTTTTTGTTTTTCTTGGATATACCACCTTCTCTGATTCCTGCTGGACATTTGAAAGCAAGAAAAGGCATTTGTTTAGTTTGTTTCTTTTGGCTTGTTAGACATTCTTCAGAAAATCACCTTTCATTGAATACCCGCCCAGCCCAACCCTGGTGGGTCCACGCGGGAACGTATTCCCAGAAGCTGGACGTCCCCCTCGTGAATTTTAGATGAGCTTATCCTGCTTGAGTGTTCTGTGTTTTTACTGGACTCGCGTGCTCACTGATTTCCGTTCAGTCCAGAGCTTTCTGGCTCAGTTTAAAGGACACTGTTGAACTGACGTCAACACTGACTGTGGCAATCTCTGTAATATGTTTACATGTTCTTGTTTGATATCTACGTCTTGTTTCGTCATTGGAACGCGTTGCCCGTAGCAATCAAACCTCCCGTGACCGGCTGTGATAATTACCAACGTGACCCCTGACCCTACATGTGGCCTGTTGATGGTCTCCAGCCACGGAGGTCAGCTGTGATGGAGGACGTGCAGAAAGGAGGAAGATTCCGCGCACGTGCGTCCAGATCATCTGCGCTCCTGTGCATGCAGCAGTGCTCTAACAGGTGTGTGTCTGTGGAACCCAGCAGAGGCGCTCCCATATTCCTGCAGCGCGCGGTGGGCCGAAGGAGGCGGTCAGAGAACCGACCACGTTGGACACCAAACAAACTTTTTGTTCTTAATGAAATGAGACGAGAGGGAGCAGAAACTGGCCCGTCACATTTAAGGGCAACTGATTCTTAAGCACTTAAGAAGCTTTAGAGCAATCAACGACAGACTTCTGGGCAACGTTTTGACTTTAGGCGTGAAATTCTGTCCGATTTGACTTTGATGGTTGCTGGCTGGTTTTGTTACTACGGCGATAACATGAGGGGATTTTATGAACTCCAGGGTCAATGAATCTTGTGTCTGTAGTGGATTCAGATTCGATGACTTGGTATCCAAAATGAAACTACGAATCTTCAAAGCATCTTGGTTCAGTTAACCAGCAAATTAAAGAGATTATAATATTTTGCGCTTTGTGCTTATTACAAAGTGAAATCCAAAAATCATTTTTTTTGTTCTTAACATTGGTCCTGCTAAGGTTTTAGTTATTTGAGCTTATTACAGACGTGTGTGTGTGTGTGTGTGTGTGTGTGTGTGTGTGTGTGTGTGTGTGTGTGTGTGTGTGTGTGTGTGTGTGTGTGTATGTGTGTGTGTGTGTGTGGATGCGTTACAAAAGAGGTATTCCTTGATAAGTTACAAACACATCTCCATGACATCATTATATCACCCAAGTATCTGTGCCTGGTTGGTAGTTGCTTAATTATTTTTCCCTCTGAGCTGTCAAACCTGGCTAATTAATTCCAGGCGGGTTTATTAAGCTCTGTGATTTAGTTCACACTCAATAGTTTTGCCTCCAAAAATCTTTCAGTTGGAGCTGCGATGGACACTTTGCTCTCTGCAGGCTGTCCGACTTTGTGTTTTGCATTCTGATTAAACGCCGCTGTCGACTGCAGCTGTAGTTTAGATTTTCTGTATGTAATTTGAACCTACACACACACACACACACACACACACACACACACACAGTCGCCAGTCCATCTGCTCTCAGCTGGCTGCTGTTAGTGCTACACGGCCAGCTTCCCCACACACACACACACACACACAGATCAATACTGTCATCTAATGTAGTGCTGCCAGTTTCTCCATCTCCACTGCATTTATAAACACACACACACACACACACACACACGCACTTTCTCCCGCGTGTAAAGATGATGGTCCAGCCATCTGCTGGAAAGTGAGGCACGTGTCGGGTTCCCTGGTGGAGTCATTAATCTCAGGCCCTGAGTCTGTTGACCGCACACACACACACACACACACACCGTGTCAGGTTGGCCTACACAAACACTACCCATACTCCCTCCGTCCCGTCCCGGTCGGTTCAGCAGTTACACGGTTTGCAGTTTGTTTGACCTCCAGCCAGTGTTTACCCATCATGCACTTCTGCTGCTCCGTGGCAGAGGCCCACAAACCAGACGCGTCGCTGGGAAAGTTTGTCGGCCAGCTGGGAAGTGGAATAGCAAGCTGGGATTTGAGAGCATGTGTGAGGAATTGTGCCACCGGCTGGTGGCTCGTCAGAAACATCCGTGCCGATGCAACGCGCACGTTTCCATACTGACACGTGGTCACTTCACGTGAACGCTTTTTGACATTCAACCAAGTTAAGAAATCATTTGATATACACAATCATCGCTGAACCCTTTTTTTGAAATATATTTAAAATCAGAAACCATCTGGTGAAAAGAATAAGCACCTTATCATTTGGCCCCAGCTTCCCGCTCCTGAAAGTTAATAATACTCAAAGGCAGCGGTGCATTTTATGAAGACTTCCATTGTTATCTTACTGTTTTCACAAGGTAGTTTTGACTTTTATGACTTTTCATATTGGTGATTGTTGAGAAAAATGCTGTGGCAAACCCTCCACCCGAAAGTCTCAACTTACTTTCGTTTGAGCGTGGACCAAATCAGAATCTGAGCCTGTGAACTCGTGCAGAAGAGTCTCTCCCTGCCTGCTAACGGGTACGGAACGGTGTCCTGTGGATTGATGGAAGCATCTGCTGTGGTTTTGTCTCTGACGAGCTTCTGTGCACCTCTGACTCGGATCACGTAGAGAAACCAGCTCAGAGGAGCATGTGACGTTGGGTATGACGAGGTGAAGCCTCGTTACCACACACACACACACACACACACACACACACGGGCGTTCTGATCCACGTTACATGAGATTCAGTGATGTTTTAATGTGCACAGTTTGCATCTGTCTGACGGGGACTGGACTCCTACAGTCAAAGGCAGTGTTTGGGGTTTGTCTTTAAAGAGCGATTATGAGGAGGAGGCGGCACAAAGACCGGAAAAGCATTGCTAGAGTAAAACCAGTGCAATATCTTTTTATTTTTTATTGTGGTAAAAGCATGTTGTTGTCAATCTTACCTTACAACAATAATAAAGGTTTTTTTATGTAAGCTTTGGTTTTTGCAGCGTCTTTATTGTGTTTTTTTTTTTTATTCTTCTTTCACTCTGCTTTATGTGGCACATGGTATTTTGAAGAGGGAATTCCGCCATTGAACTCTCATAAAGTCCAAAACAATAAATGATCCCGGATGGCTTCCAGGTTTACAACATGCCTGCACTGCAAAACCACCTATCAGGTCATCTCTATCCGTAGATCGTAGTAGTCAGATGGAGTCTCCATGTTATTTGCATCAGTTAAGATCCAGGAGCATGGACACACACAAGTCAACTCAGAGACAGTACGAGAAATTGAACTATTTTTCATTAGACGGGTGCAAAAATGTTTTTTAGTTTCATCATACACGACCCGGATAAAATCCCACATCCCACTCAACACCTGGACTTGATGCTGCAGGTACCGCAGGTAAGCACCTTTTATTCTTTCTGTCTAGCAATGTTATCTTCACCATATCTACTCGAGCATAAGTGAGTTTACTGACTCTTGACAAACTAACTAGTTTGCAGGGAAACGTACAGCAACAATGTCTTTATCCACGTCAGGATTCTAAAACCGCTTTGAACAGCAGCGATTTAATTGCCACACATTGTCACATTTGGGCTTTTGCACTCCATGTGAAACGTGTGTTAAAAGGTAAAGAAGTCTCCCCAAAATAAATTGTTTATCCTGCAGGACTAACAAAAGATACAAATGTGATGGAATGGATAAAACCCGGACCAAACTACATTCTACCAAAAATAACTATCTAGTGATGGTAATTAAAAGTATGTACATGTTTTATTTTTAACTCTCACTACTCTGACGAAATTAGTGTCTAAGTGAAATGACTTTCGCGGTGTTTTTTTACAGTGTATTACCCCTTTTTGTTCTCGGGGGGGGGAAGTACTGCCTCGCTTTCTTCAGCTCTTTCATCTAATAAATGTGATGTTAAATTGCCCCCCTTCTCTCTCCTGGTTCACGCCGCGTGTTGGATTCCCAGTCATTTGTTCTCATCTCGTCCTTGTGTCCGTCTGGAGAACGTGAGCGGAAAAGTGCCAGTAAATTGTCTGTAAGCTCATTTCTGTTGAAGTGGCTTCATCCAGTCAGTTAAGCTGTGGTTTCTGCAGCGCCCGCCTCCCTAATGGGGCTTCAAATGAGCCGCTCGGCTGCTGGATGTGTGTCCGCCGTGTGCCTGTGTCTCTCTCAGAGATTTCTGGCATCTTAATGGTCTTGGGAGACAGCTTCAGTGGGGCTTGCGGTGCATTTATGGGGGGTAATGGCTAATCTGTGCAGCGCCGCGGGGGGGAGGGGGGGGGGCGCCACGCCTCAGAGAGAACATCCGGGAAGAAGGCATCATCTCGTAGGTCCCCGCCCCTAGAACAGCAGATGCATAAAGGCCCCGCATCTCGCGACAAGAGGGTTGGGGGTTTTGGGGCTCCCTGTCCGGTTTATAAGCCCCATCTGCATGTTGGGATAATGGGGGGCCCCCCCCCCCCCCCCCCCCCACCACCCCCTTTCTACCTTACCCTGCTTCCCTGTCTTGATTCCCTCCATCCATCCAGGCGTCCGCAGGGAGCTGTCAGAGGAGAGGAGGAGAGCGAGGGGCCTCTCAGTCTTTACCGGAGGGCCTGCGGGGACGGGGGTACACATGGTGGTGGTGAGGAGCTCTGACAGCCGTCCTGCACACGCACACGCACACACAGACACACACAGACACAAGAAAAGAGTGCGGAGGAGCAGTGACAGGAAGCAGAACAGGGTGATGAATTGCCAGCTTCGCCTCGCTCTGACACGGCTCTACATGACCGGGCAAATTCATTCCAGGCCGTAGGGGAGGGAGGGAGAGAGCTGCGATGGAGGGAAAAGGGCGAACGGGGTAACGTGGAAGGAGAAAACCAGATCCAAATATATGGACTTGGCCTTTGTGGGTCAGGCCTCTTGTCATCGATCAAACAAGACAACTGAGGCCTTCAAGATGCAGAAGTTCCTTCTACTTTTGAATGACTTCTACCTGACATTGATTGCCCAAGATAGGAGGGATGTTGGGGGGGTCCTTGAACCCTGAAAAAAACCCTTAATGCTTCTTTCATATTACACCAATTGTTCTATTGATCAATAGAGTGAATTAGCATGTTGAACGGAGGGAGAATGTCTGGCTCGTCCGCGGCTCTTTTCCGGAGCTCATCCCTGATGTTCACGTGTAGCTGGACAGCTGTGATCGGCCTGTCCAAGTCATCCACGCGTGAGGCTCCTCGGTTAGTTAGCGGCCGTTCTGGATTTATCTCCAGACGACGGGCAGGTGGAGATCTACGTCTGGCGTAGCGGGACAAAACAAACATAGAAACACTCGCTTGAATATCTTAATTAATCCACCGGAGTTCAAGTTACTGCGGCGACGCCCGACTCGACGAGACGAGCGCTTACATTTCTAACACACAGTTTGTGGACATCTTTCCTCATTGGTTTCAAACCACCGCAAAGCCACAGCTGCAGTGTCCCCGTTTTCCATTCAAACCTCAAGTTATGTCTTCCACTCCTCATGAGGCAACACCTCCCCCAGCTTGCCCATTTATTACCCGCCACACGGGGAACAAAGTTACATTAGCCTCAGCTTCCTCACCCTCGTCATTAATGAGCGGACCGAAGTGATTAAATCCGCCTTGTGATTGGCCGGATCCTGGCGGTGACACGGATCACATCCCAGTCCTCCCCGTGATCTAATTGGTCTGTGTAGCAGTTGCCAGGTACTTAATGAGGCCTGGGTGGGCTGATGTATGGCTACTGTAACGTCCATCCCGCCGCACTCCACACGATGACGCCTGTGGAGCTAATGGCACATGAAATGACACTGATATGATATCGTATGGAGGAAAGGAGAGCAATTGTTGTAGACGAGAAGAGGACGTTTTTGTTGAGATCGATAAATATGTTTGAAAGAAACCTTTTTCTTTTTGTAGAAAGTTGTGGAGATAGACAGCCAGTCGTTGACAACATCTTTAAGTTACTTTCAAGGTGGCAGTTTGTGCATTCGATGTTGTCTCCCTTAAATACCTCCACGATTCGGAGTGGGTCTGTAGCTATAATGTCTTGGGCTGAACAATTTAATAAAATAATAAATCATTTAATAACATTGTAGGACTGCTCCATAGACAATGACGTTAACACTTTATACCTGATGTCTTCACAACTCTTTTCTCAGGACTTAAAGAGACACTATTTCATCTTCCAAAATAGTGATTGGAATTGGACTCAGATGTGAAATAATTAAGGTCAAAACATGTATTTGGAAACAACATGGTTAGTTCGTATCTGCAGAGAAGTTGCATATTGAAAATACTTTACATCTGCCATCCAGTGGCCATTAATGGACAAATGGTTGAAACATGACGACCTCTTTTAAAAACATCCCATTCAGAACATTTTATTACAGAAAAACGCCGCTTGTTATTCATCTGATGTGACCTTTATGATCTACGTTATTTGTGTCCCCCTCGAGGTCCACACAGGAAAGTATGCGTGTGTGTCCATACGTGCTTTTGTGTGTCTGGCCGTATTAAAAGTTGGACCACAGACGCACAATCGGGAACCTGACAAAGACCTTCGCCCGGACTCTGTGAACAAAGAGGCTGCTGTTCACCAAAGGACAAAAGCAAAGCGTTAAGAGCTCCAGGTGTGTGTGTGTGTGTGTGTGTGTGTGTGTGTGTGTGTGTGTGTGTGTGTGTGTGTGTGTGTGTGTGTGTGTGTGTGTGTGTGTGTGTGTGTGAGAGAAAGGAGTGTGTGGGCAACCTGCCGTCTCCATCAGTGTCTGGCTGATTGATTGGGACGTCAGCCAAGATAAAAGATCCCGTCCTCCCAGCGCGGCTATACAACGCCCCGAGGGGGAGAATGGCGCTTACAGACACACACACACACACACAGAGGCATGCACTTGGATACCTGTACTGAATACAGATCCTGCTCTCCTGGCTGTGTTTACACTCCTGGGGCCGGCTGCTGTGTTGATGTGGAGGGCGCCTGGTTTTGGCAGAGGGAGGGAGGGTGTGCGTTCCATGCGAACGCGTTGACTGTTGTTTAGTCGTAGTTTATGGCCCACGGTGGCATGTTTCCCTCTTTGTGAATAAAAGGGCAATAAGCGAGATTATGTCTCCTAGCTTCCTCCTTATCGAAGGTTTGTTGCAGCGGTTGAGAAATCACTCTTCCTGCTCATCGCTTGATGCTTTTCAGCAAATGCTGTGAAGCTTCTTTCAATATTATATTGTCTGCTTTTGATAGAAAACACAGAAGCCAGACAAATATGTTGTGTCTTTCAGAGTGCTATGTAAACTCCACATTTAACAAAAGCACTTTATTTAAAAACAGTCCGATTCTTCTGTCCATCTATGGATTAATTACTCCCACACACAGGTGACTTAAACAGAATGTCCTGTGAGAAACAACATTTTAGCTTTCTTTACGGCTGCAATAACAAATTAATACATGTATTATTACACATGCAGTTCCTCCAGTGAGTAAGTGAGCATTAAAAACCTGATTTCACAGCACTTCTTCAGGGCAAACTGGTGCATGCAGAATGTTTTTACATGTGGCTGCGATTCTTGTTTACTTATTTATATTTAAGAGCAATGTTTTATTCCCATGGAAACACATCAATGATCTAAAGCAGGTAAAACCTCTGAACCGCATCACTTGTGCGAAAGACGTCCGGCCGGTTCCCAGCGCGCCTTCAGTTTAGTGTTTTACCTGCAGGGGCTGCTACTGGAGCGCACCTCTCACCATCTCAGCTTCCTGCTCATTCATTTAATCCAGACGTCTCATTCTGCCTTCCAGAGGCCACTCTATCATTCTCTTTATCTCCCTCTGTGTTTGGGTGTGTAGTTGGAGCTGTACGCTTACACCGGACTCCGACCCCTTACCTCCTCCAGCCTTCATCAATTCAAACTCCCCTCTCCCTCTTTCTGATCGTTCATTTGTGACCTCCCTCCCTCTCTCGTTCCTCTCTGATCAGGCGCCGTT